TGCAAAGTTGAATTGAAGCCAGGTGACCAGGTAGGAAATGGAGTGAAACGCTGGCAAGCAGCTGAGGAGAGACCATCCGTCCTCGAGTTGTTCCTGGATCACCACACACACAGGCCAAAGGCACATTGTATTGGGACCATTGGCAGTAGGGCATTAGGTTAACAGGACAGTAACCTGGTGTGAATGCTCGCTGCTGACTGGCTGTGACACCTGCTGGCAGCTGGTGCAGTTGCCTGGGGCCCACTCCATGTGCCTACACGGGCCAGAGCCCAGCTCCCTGCTCCACGCCAGCCAGGGAGAGGGCCGGGGGCAGAGGGGAGTCAGAGTGGGGAGACATGACTGCCTTCTCACCTGAGCTTGCTTTGTGATCCCCCTTCCAGGGGAGTGGGCAGATGACCAAAGGCACGGCCACGGTGTGTACTACTACGTCAACAACGACACTTACACGGGAGACTGGTTCACTCACCAAAGGTTCGAATAGACTCATTCGTGTGGTGAGAATGTGATGATGTCTTATTAAGAAACAGAATCATGACCAAAGCCCATTAGCCAACTCCACCACATGGTTCAAACCCTTCATGGCGTTAAGGTGAGCAGTGCGGGAGGGTGCCTCACCGCGGCACAGGTGCAGACTCGGGGGAACATGTAGGTGCTTCATGTGAGAACCCGGGGCGTGGAGGGCGCAGGGGCCACAGCTTCCTGGAGCACTGCCACTTCCCCGCATGAACCAGCAGATATGTGGGAGGTGGTCCCTGTCCAGCAGGCCATGCCCATCCCATGCATGGGCACACAGAGCAGGAGGCATGCTCTGATTGGGTGCAGATGTAGAAGACAATTCTAGGCCACCTTCAGTTTAAATGTCTGTCTTCCACACCTGGGAGGTTTCTCTCAACAGTGGAACAAAATGCATTGTCCTCCTTCTTACCCAGGCATGGACAGGGCACCTATTTCTACGCAGAGACGGGCAGTAAGTACGTTGGCACCTGGGTACACGGACAGCAGGAAGGTGCAGCTGAGCTCATTCACCTGAACCACAGGTATCAGGGCAAGTTCTTGAACAAAAACGTAAGTCATGGGAAACAACATTTGCCAATGAAATACACAACACCCTGCTCCTGCCCTCTGTCTAAATATCTGAATGGAAGATGCTAAAAACTCAGGGAGCCCTCCTGCCCCCTAAATAGGGGAAATGGGCAGCTGGGCCACCCTTCAGCCTCTGACACCCACAGAGGGCAGAGCAGAAGGGAGCATGCCTGTATCTCTGCACCTCAGTAATGCCCCGTCCTCTGGCAGCTGTCCATCCCGTCAGTGTAATACAGGGCATCTTGACCTCGTGTGTGTGCTCCTTCTCATGACCGAGCCACGTCCCAAATACTCGTTTGTCTGGGGCAAGTGAACATTCCCTGCAGTTGAGCGAGTGGGTCCCCTGGGAGGGAAGGGCTTTTTCTCCATGGCAGGGCAGCCTGCCCACTTCTGGGCCGGCCAGGACCACAGGCTGCCCTGGGCCCACGACTGGCCATTTCTGTTTAGGGGCCTCTGGCTTTGCTGAGCCCTAGTGGGATGCAGAGAAACCCCGAGTAATTCAGATCCTACCATGTGGGCATTCCTCACAGCTTTGGTCAGGGGTTGAGCAGAAACTTTCCCTGAAGAAAAGTTTGCATTTAACTGATTTAATAAAGTAGCTTCAGACTCCCCTAAAACTGTTTCCATTTATACGTAATTCATGCCCTTTAGCCTTTGTAAATCAGCATGCTCTCCTCTAATCTGCACAGCATATATGCAATTCCCGGGAAAACTCTCCCAGGTCAGTTTTCAGCATGGGGAGGTGGGTGGAGGGAGAAGGAATTTGACGGAAGTGAATAAGGAGGACCCACGGTATGCAGGAAGTCTAGACTGATCCGAAAAATAAGAGCAGAAGTGGAGGCTTGGTTCTGCTAGTTAGCAAATGTCTACGAAGTTGTGAAAGTAACACACAAGCACATTGTAAGTGTGAAGCACCTCACCACATGCATCCTCCCTGCTCCCTGGAGCACTGTCCCCCACCACCCCGGGGTGCTGTCCCGTGTACTCCTTCCTGGCCCCCTGGGCGTGCATGCTCATACACACAGCTTATATAGAAGTTCTCTTTACATCACTTTACACCAGGGGGTCGTCATCAGGATCCAAAAATACACACAGAGAGATATTGTCTGTCTCTGACACATTTTAGGGTGTTCTTTATGGTTAGATATTGGAATTGCTGAATCTACAGCTATTGAAATTTTAAAATATGAGTGATACTGCCAATTGTCCTAAAAAGCTCACTAATAGGATATGAGAGTCTCTGTCACATGCCATCACCAGTGTTGGATATGATCACTCTTTAACACTTTCAGCAAATCTAATGGGTCAATGGAAGTCACGTCATTGTTCTAATGTGCATTTCCTGATTCCTAGTGAATTCCAGTGCTTACCCACTTCTACTGGTCTGACTTTCTTCCTCAGAGAATGACATGTTAACATCCTCACCGGCCAGTTGTTCCAGCATACCAAAACCTTCGATAATTAAACAGTGTAATATTCAGACAGAGGCGCACAGATCAGTGAAGGGAGTTAGAAAGTCCAAGGACAGATCCAAGCATATAAAGTAACTTAGCACTTGAAAAGGATGTCACTTCAAATTAATGGGAAAGATGGGGAGAAATCAAGAAATGAAGCTGGGACAACTGGATAACCACTTGGGAGAAAAATGAAATCAGAGTTTGTCCTCCAGCATATAGATTTCTGCAAGAAATGAAGGTTTAAATGTGACCAAGAAATTCACAGATAGAAAAATAGGTGACTATTTAGTAACTTTGGAGGGATGAAGGACTTTCTAAACAGAAATATAAAGGAAAACCCAAATGATTTATCTTGATAAAAATACTTCCTTATAGATTAGAAAATGCTTAATGGAGCTGTAAGAGATATGAAATGGAAATCGGGTATTTGCAACATGTAATATATAAAGCACTTATACTGATCAGTGTGATTTAAATGGTAAAAAATATTAAAGAAAAAAATTCAACCTTAATAATAACTTAAAAGATGTGACAATGTTGACGTTCTGCTTTTTTATATAGAGAGAAAACTATAAAGATAGAAAAAACTGTCACTGCTCAGAAAAAAATAAGTGTTTAAGGGCAAGGGGGCTCTTAAGTGCTGTCGTAGGAGGAAAATTATTAAGACCTCATTCTGGTCCAAAAAAATATATGTAGTATGCATATATACTGAGCATGCATACATACTATATTTGTATGTGTGTATATACATATAGATATATGTATATATATGTGTATATGTATGTATATACAAACTGTACTATATATATATATATATATATAGTATTTTTTTTGTCCAGAAATTTTATTTCTGAAAACTTACCCTGAGGAAAATATCAAAAGTGTACATAAAGATTTAACTCTGAGTATGTTTACTGACAGTCTTGTTGGAGAAAAGTATCAGCATACCAAATACCAACAATGGTGAATGAGTAAAAACAGATTTTAGTTCTTAGATGAAATACACACCAGGTTGACAACTGGTATTGTGGAAGGATATTTGTAAATATGGGAAGTTGTTCATGCCATTTTTCTAACTCACAGTAGAATACAAGCCAGCATGTATAATTATGATTGGATTTTTATTAAAAATATCTGTGCATTAGAAATAAGGTTACAGAGAATACATCAAACTATGGTGAGTAGGTCGATCTCTACCGAGTTTGCTTATGGGTGTTGACTTACTGAACTTTTTATAATAAATACATTACCTTTATAAAGAGATAAAATGTAGTTTAAAATTTTAAAAATAAACAAACCTTACCAATAACTTAAAATTGCTTTGCAATTCCATTAGCCATTGGTTCATCAGTGTCATCTATGGTCCACACTGGACTCTGTCCAGTTTCATGATCTGGGGCAGGTTTTATGGAGGTAGCAGCTCCGTAGCGCCCCCTACCTTCACTAGGTGTGGACACTTGATGTACCTCTTGGTTTCTCTTTGCTCCTAGCCTGTGGGCCCCGGGAAGTACGTGTTTGATATCGGATGTGAACAGCACGGGGAATATCGTTTAACAGATGTGGTAAGTTGCAAAGTATTTATTGTTTCCTCAGTTCGTAGGCAGGAAAGCCGCTCAGTGATGTTGATCCCAGAGATCCCACAAGGTCAGAAGCTGCGCCACCTCTTGGCGACTTCCGCTTTCTCAGTTTCCTTCTTTATTTGCGTGCATGAGCCTAGAACTAAATTGCCAGAACGAAAGAATATCATTTCATAGTTACTGCTAGAGTCTAGACCCAGTTTTTGTCAAGAGGACCCAGTTAATCCTGAGTTTGAGCTCTGGACAGTGTTAGGTTCCAGAAACAATTGAAATCTGTCACTGTGTGTCACCAAATTTGTCCAATAACTCAGCACTTCAAGTGTGTGACTCGCCCTGCTTATAATTTTCTCTTTTCGCTAGTTTCTAATATTTAACATTAAGATTAATATTACATTGGTATTCCCTGGTTAATATCGAGATTAGCCAGCTAATGTGGCTATTATTAGGCACCCAAATACAGATATGCGTGTTGGGGGGTGGGACGTCTGTGGTTATATTGCTATCATTGCCTGTCCAAGGCCTGTTGACAATGGACAATAAACACTAAAATACTTTGGGCACCTCCCATGCCAGGGTGCCCCCACCTCAGTCCCCTCTTCTCACTCTACAAGTCACTCTTTTCCCCAAGGTCTGCAGAGTGAATGTCTACCCTCCTTGGTGGAACCAGAACACCCCCCATCTTTCCGACCCTGTTTGGCTTCACAGCCCCTCGGTGCCAGCTGACATGATGGGGGGTGAAGTCATTTCCTAGCTAACTATAAATCATGAAATGGCCAAAATGTTTGCTTTTGTTGCTAAAAATGAGGCCCTACCAGCCTTGAATGTTGTTTCCTCCTGGATCCCAGGAGGTCTGGTCTGAGTGTGAGGGGTTCCCAGAAGGGTTCTCACGACAACAAGTGGGGGTGGTGTGTCATCCCCAAGGGTGGTTCTGCAGCTCACTGCATGTGTGCATGTGTGTGCGTGTGTGTATGCGTGTGCACAGCCACCTGCATGCCGGGTCAAAAACCTCAAACTCAGTTGATTGCCTTGTTAGCTGTGACAGTGAGAGGGTTAGTGTTTGTGCTGGCCTCTCCCTGGGGTTGGGAGCCCCTTTCCTGTCCCCAGAAGGATCGTGTCAGCTGAATTTATTATACTGCACCGCTAAACAAATGCAGCCTTATAGTCATATTGGTGATTGTACAGTTATTTCAGTTTGTGAAGTGTTAAAAAATACACATCTTATTAAGTATTTTTCAGTTTTAGTCTCTCTGGGAAAAAGTTATTAGAAGTATTGCAGGATGATGGGAAGAAAGTAGAAAGAACTCCAATACCATCTAAGGGGGAAATACGGATGTAAGCCCCAGAACTTTTAAGTTCCTGCTCAGGAGTAAACCCTCGCCTAAGGCCGCCACCGTGTTCTGGGGGACGGTCAGAGGGCGATGAAGTAGGGAAGCCTGAGATTCTCTTTTGGCCCAGAGGGCTGGCACTCTGCAACCCACAGGCCAAAGCCCACCCAAAGCCTGCTCGATTTGGTTTTGTTTTTTTCAGTTTGGGTAAAGTACATGTAGCATTTTCCATCTTAGTATTTTTTTAAGTATGCAAACCAGTGGCAGTAAACATTGGCAATGTTGTGACCGTCTCCACGTCCATCTCTAAACACTTCTCATCTTCTCAACTGAAAGTCTGTCCCCACTGAGGGATCTCCACCCCTGCCCCAGCCCCTGGAGACCTCACTGCGTTTTCTGTCTCTATGGATTTGCCTGTTCTTGATATTTTAGGTAAGGGGATTGTGCAGTATTTGCCCATTGGCGTCTGGTTTCTTTCACACAGTGAAACATTTCCATGGTTCGTCCATGGTGTAGCAGGGGTCAGAATTTTCTTCCCTTTTATGGCTGAATAATATTCCATTGATGGGCACTCGGGTTGTTTCCAGCTTTTGGCAAGTGTGAGTCATGCTGCCCTGGATGCTGGTGTGCAAGTATCTGTCCTTAGTTCCTTTGGGCGCATTCCCAAGTGTGACATTGCCGGGTCATATGATAATTCTATGTTTAGTTTTTTGAGGAACTGCCGAAAGTTTTCCAATTTGCCCTGATTTACACTCCTGCCAGCAGTGCAAGGGGGTCCTGCCCCCAGTTTTTTTGTAAGTAAGGTTTTACTGCAGCCCAGTCGCATGGATTCGCTTATGAGAGCATCATCTGCGGCTCTTTTCATGCTTGAGCAGCAAGGTAAGGAGTTGCCGCAGACTCTGGATGGCTGGCAAAGCACCCGGCAGTTGGCAAAAGTTTACTGACCCTAATTCTAAACAGCGTTTTTCCAAGCACATATGCTGCAACCCGTTCTTGAGTCACAGAGCCAATTCATGGAACTGTGAGCGATGCTTTAGAAAATGAAATGGAAGAGAGGAGAAGCTCTCAAGTGAATTTTGTTTCAGGCTTGAATTCCGAGGCCCTGGGTTGTGATGTGACATGTATTTCCTGCCATGTGTCGCTGTGTTTGGAAGCTGCTCTAGATGTCTGTGTCTGAAGCTTCCTGGGCACTTGTGAAATGTGGATTTGTGAACATTTCCTTTATGGCCCTTAGGGAGAAAGATGTTAATGCTTTTTAAGTTTTAATCCACTTTATTGTTAATTTGAACAAAACCTCTAGCAGATTCCTGTGTTTGACTGGTCCTTTCTAAATAATATTCACTCCTTTTCCTTTACTTGGAACAAGGTGCCTCAGGCCTGGGGTCCTAGATGTGTTAGGGCTGCTGTCAGAGTTCCTCAGGCTGGGTGGCTCAAACAGGAAGTTGTTATTTCACAGTCTGGAGGCCAGAAGTGTGAAATCCAGTGTTAGGGGGCTTGGCTCCTCCCCAGGGCAGGGAGGGAGGCTCTGCTCTCTCCTCTGTCCTCAGCCTGTAGACACCACCTTCTCCCCATGTCTCTGCCTGTCGTCTCCACCTGTGTGTCCAAGTTCCCCTTTGTATAAGGACACCAGTCCTGGTGGACCTGGGCCCAGCCTAACGACCTCACTGTAACTTGATGAGCTCTATACAAAGTCTATTTCCAAATAAAGCCACATTCTGAGGTGTATTAGTGGTTAGAGGACACAATTCAATCCATAGCACTGGAGAAACAGGCCCCCAGGCTCTGGGGTGTCCAGGCAGACATTACCAGGGTTACAGTGGGGTCCACTGCTGCAGGGGAGCAAAGGAAATGGTTTGGGGAGAAGGGGAAGTTGAGGGGTGACAGGAAGCCACCAGAGCTCTGAGCTGGATGGCCCTTCAGAGTTTCCTGAAGGGAGGCAAGGACCTTCAACCTCCATACGTATGAGTTACTGGGTAAAGGCTGCCCACGGATGAGGGCGTGAAACCTGAGCTATAAGGCCTCCTCTGGTGGAGTGGTCTTCCGGGCAGATGGTCAAGAGCAGTCAGCTGCCAACACCCCCAGCAGCTGGAGGGGGAGAGCCCGGCGTTGGGGCAGATCCACGGGCAGCCCCATCACAAGGGAGAGACACGGACTCCTGGAGGCGGTCCTCAAAGTGTGGGTCCTGGCCTGCAGCCCACGCACTGCTGTCCCAGAGCATGAGTGGGCCGTTCTCTCAATGGGTGACAAAACTCAGAACATTTGAAGTCGGATAGGGTCATTTATTTCTGAGTGAGTCTAGGAAAGTGCTAGGCAGGAGTCGGTCACTCTGTCATGGGTGTCACCTCCTACGTGACTATAATGCTTTCTGTATTTATAGGGTTGATGTTTAGATCTTTGAAATTTTGTGGCAGGTATAAAACTGACCAGTATTCTTGGCAGAATCCACATGTTGGCTGTTAACCACTGTTGGAATTCACATTATTATAAAATTTTCCACATTTAGAAGTGACAGACTCTCATTCCACTTCCGCTGAATTTAATTTTTCTTCCTTGACCCTTGAGATGAGGGCTGCGGTGTTCAGGCCTCTCAGCAGCACCAAAGAGCCATCTTGGGGTATTTTAGGCCCTTCCACGGTGACTCTTGTATTGCATGGGAAGAATCTGAGAGCTGGGAAATGTGGCTGAGTGATCTCGGCTGCATGGAGTCTCTGTTACTTGTGGCCTGTTGCCAACAGTGGGGAAGTGGTGGGTCTGGGGCCTCTGGGCTGGGAGCCTCTAGGCTGGGAGCCTGGCACCCCCGTGGGGAGCAGGCACAGTGTGCACCGCGCTCCCGTTTCTCATCCCGCTTCCTCCAAGACCCACTGTGACCCACGGTCACACTATGGACAGTTGGCAACTGGTCCCATCACCAACTCATGTTGTGAAAATGCTCAAATGCAATTCAAAGCCTGTCCCTCCTCTGCTCACCTTAAATACCCTGCAGCGATTTTATGACCCTGTTGGTAAATTTTCATTTTTAAACTTAAAATAGGAAAGAGGAGAAGAGGAAGAGGAGGAGGAGACGTTGGTACCCGTCATTCCAAAGTGGAAAGCGACCAAAATCACAGAGCTGGCGCTGTGGACCCCAACCCTCCCCAAGGAGCTGCCACCAGGGGACAGAGCTGTCCAGGGAGAGGCCCAGGGAGACGAGGGTAGGGGGCCGTGGGCTGGCTCCCTGGGAAGCTGCTAGGGGTGCTCCGGGTGCTGGCTGCCACGGGGCGCTTTGGGATTGCATCCTCCCAGGGAGGCTAAGGAGGAGAAAGCGGCGGGGCTGATGGATGGAGGGGGAGATCAGGCCCCCCTCCACTGCGGCGGGTCCCGTGGCTGAAATGTCCATTGTGCCCCGGGGACCTTTCCCTGCAGCCAGGCCACTGAGTGGCTGTGGGCCTGGCCTCAGGCCACCAGGCCGACAGGCTGGGGCCACAGCCCTTTGTGTGCAGGTCTGCACAGTGCTGCTGCGGGCAGAAGTGCCGGGGTTGCGGAGGGCTGGGGTGGGGGTCTCACTGTGGCGGGGGACTGAAAGCCAGCTCGAACTGGCCAAGTGACGGATACTGGCACTAGTCCTGGGTTCACATGGGTGGTTGCAGGGGATGGGAGGGCACAGGCTGGTCACTGGCCTTGGGAGCGGCTCTGCCTGCTGGAGGGGGGTCTCTCCCCGGGAGACCGGTGCCTGCTGACTTACCAGATGTCACCTGATGGGCTCAAGAGCCCGGGGGAGCAGAGAGCTTGTCTTTCTGAATGTTGTGAGGAGCCTTGGGGAGCAGGTTCTTCAGCCCGCACATGGGCGGTGGTGCCGTGGACGTCCAGGCTGGGCTGCAGGGGCTTCTGTGGGCATCAGGCGGCCCCCCGGGGCTGCGGGGCCTGAGCCACACTCCACCTGCCCTTGCTCCCCAGCAGGCAGGCCTGAGCCTGTGGAGGAGACCCAGGTTCCAAAGGACGTTTCTGAGGGGGAGATGGATTCCATGAGGCCTGGAGAGGAGGACATTGACGCGGCCCAGGAGGGGGGCCCTGAGTACGGCCGGGAGGAGGTCCGCGACGCCGACAACGCTGACCAGGGTGAGCAGGCTCTGCGGGGCTAGGAGGCCGCACCCTGCAGCAGGCTGCCCTTAGACGGGTCTGGGGGCCCAGGGGTTCTGCTGTGACTCATGACCGTGAGCTCAGGGGTGCCCACGGGCGTGCTGCCCCGTTGGGGTGTGCGTGCAGACCCCAACCAGCCAGACAGCATGGGCGACAGATCTCAGGCTCTGCTGTTAGCCGATGTCCATTTCACGGAGAGGGCAGGCCTTGGCTGCAGAGTCCCCTGAGACGTTTATAACATGGCTTTATTTTACTCCACGGTTTTTACCATGGCAGAGCCGTGGGAGTGTGGTTAGGGGCTAGCAGTGCCTAGCAGTGCTGGGCACCAGCCCTTTTCCCGTGGGTTTGAGGTTCCATTAAGTAGAAGCTTCTGCCCCAGCAGGTCCTGGGACAGGGATTTGCCCAGAGTCTGCTCAGGGCTCCAGGTTCCTGGAATCTTTAGTCTTTCCTCAAGTGCTGTGGGCGCAGCCAGAAAACTAAGAGAGGTTTCTCTTCTTTCAGCCCAATTTCTTCTGTTTTAAGTGGAATACCTTGGTGGTGAGGGAGCTGTGGTCTGGGATGGCCTGGGAATGCGAGGCCCTACTGTCGCCTGGCTCCAGACAGTGCCCACTCGGCCTGGGGCCACATGCAGTTCAGCTCGTCTCTGATGTAAATTAAGAGCAAATAGCCTTCCCACTCTTTTGAAAATAGCTGAAATAATCAAATCACATAGAACAGTTTTCTATCCAAATGCCATAAACACATAACAGAATTAGGCTTTCGTTGGCAGTAATGATCCTAAATGCTGTCGTCACGCACCATGGAAGCAGGATCTGCTGGCTGTGTGGCCTTATGGCCAGAACCCCGGCCTCACCAGTGAGTGGATGGGTAATAATGCCCCTCAGGGGCTCAGTGCCCTTGGGACCTGTGAGGATGGAGGAGCTGATGTCCACAGAGGTCTCAGCCACGGAGATGCTCCGCTTGGAGGGCCTCTGCAGACACCGAGCACCACTGGCATGGAGACGCTGTGTGTGCCCGGCCTGTGTGGATTGGAGAGGCCAGCATGGGGAGCAGGGGCTTAACAGCAGCATGCCTGTGAGTGCCCGCATGTGCCTGCTGGGTCAGGACAGGTGCATGACGCACCTGGGCAACTTCAGGGAGCATTTCCGGGAGGCGTACCTGCGGGAGAGTTGAGAGGGCTAGAGGCGGCACCCGTGGGGGAAATCTGGAAGGAAAGGCCTCCCAGGCAGAAGCAGTGTCTGTGCGCAGGGGTGTGTGGGGAGCAGGGCCAGGTCTGCTGGGCTGAGAGGCTGGGCCCTTTCTGATGGCCTTTCCTTGAGAGCTTGTGGTGAAACCTGGACTTGATTGTGGGTGAAGTTGGGGGTGTTGAGGACCCAGCAGGGGATGGGTCCACTGGGTCTGGGCCAGGCAGGGTCAGGGGCTCTGCTCAGGAGTGAGGCCTTACCTTCCCAGAAATCAGGGTGCAGGGAGTGAAAAGAGGGGCAGGCATGAACAGTGAGGACAAGGGATCCCAGATGTGGCCGGGAGAGGTTGGGCTGAGTCGGTGATCCACCAGGACCGGGATCACGGCCTTGGACAAAAGGAATGTTTCCTTAGCTCAGTGGGTTCAGCCTCCAGAGGACAGTTGGCAATACCCAGAGACCTGGGGGCTGGGGCTGGGGTGCACAGTGCCACTGCGTCTTCTAGAATAGATTCCAAAATGCCAACAGTGGCTTAAATGAAAAATGTGCTAAAATAAAAAATGGGCCTTGTAAGCAAAATATTTCATCAAAATAATGTTCACGATCTATGTAATTATGATTCCTACATTAAATCTGAGGTACACCCTTCAAATTTGTTGCTACAGCCAGCAGTGAGAGTTACTAAAACTTAAAAACAAATCATTCTAGATTTCATGAAGCACTTAAAATCACTTTTAAGAATGTTCCAAGTTCCTGCTTTTCTTTTTATTAATATAAGGATCAAACACTGACATGCCTTATTCATAAAGCTGTTGTGTTTGGACAGAGTATGGAGGCAAAAGATGAATTGCTGTGCTCGTGCTCACTTAGCTGAATTGCCTTAGCAATTACTTTGAATATATCTTTTGCCTAGTTTATTACTGGTACCAAAAGAAAACTACAAAAGTCTGTATAAGAAAACTTTAACATTCTATCTTTTGCCTGATAAATGCTTAATATTTATAATATTTATTGCAAAATATCTGTTAGCAAATGAAGAATTTTCAAATTAAAAAAAGTGTATGAAATATATTCATGTTTCTCTTTTCTTCCCAGGTAACATTAGTTTGGAAGAAGAAGAAACTCGACAGTCAGAAACACCAGAGTAAGATGCAGCAAGTCAACAGAATAGATGCGATCATAAACATGCTTCTGTTACTTGGGTAGTTAAATCCTGATCAATTATTAATCTCTCTTAGTTCTTTGTTGAAATTGTTTACAATTGCAAATAAATTTCTCCATTGTCCTTTGTGTCTGAAGGAGCCTCTGGTTTGAGTTCTTTCACGATACCAGGTTCCTCTGCTCTAGTGTTTACTGGTGATCTCTGGATGGGGGAAAACGTCATCCAGCTGTAACTCCACAGGCGGTTAATGGAAGCGGGCCTCTGGCTGAGCCTGTAACTGTACTCAAGGTTCTCTCTCAGATTCCCTCCAGAGGGCTGGGGAAACATCCAGAAGATCAGCATTCCTGTGTACTCAGCCTGGAAGCCGGCCTTGCCATAAGGGGGTGAGCCGCCCCAGCCCCACAGATTCAGCATCCCAATGTGGATTCAGGGCTCTCTGCGGATGGCCTAGGGGAGGGCTGCCACAGGGTGGCTCTGGTCTGCAGCATGCACTCTTAGGTCTTCTTGTGGCCCCATCAGATGTCTGAAGCACTGGCCCCTCCTGACCCCACTCCCCTCAGGCCTGGATGTGAAGCCATGCGCTCCCCGAGGAGCCCCTGCCTCCCGTCATGCCCAGCTCTGCCACATCCGTCCTCTTCTGTCCAGAGTGTCCAGATGGCAGGAGTCTTCAGCTCACCCCAAATACCTGCATGGTTGGTTTGCTCAACCCCAGTCACACTTTTAAAGAGCCTCTGGGGTCTCTTTAAGAAAAAGCACACAGCATTATGAATATAAAGTTACATTAAAACAAATATTTTTTTAGCATAAGAAATTTCAAAAAAAGTTACCAACTAAAAAGTTGACAAATCCATAAATAGTATAACATCCAGAAAACTATAGGATATTGTCATTAGTTGACACATAATACACCTAACACTTCTTTGCCTACACTTTTTGCCACATACTCTTTGCCTTTTCTTACAGTAATTTTCTAGAATTTTCTATAGGGAGATTAGCAAGTAGTTAGTTGTTCCTTTAGCACTATTTACCAATCACTGACAGTTGAGTGAGGGCCGCCTTTATATTGGAAGAGCCTCAGGCTGGGGAGCTTCCTGCACCACCCGGCCCTTCACAGGCGTTTTGCTGTTCACATTACTGATTTGGAAGAGACCACGCCACTGCCCGCCAGAATATTTCACCTTCTGGATGTGTCTGGGTTCTCTTGGCTGGTTCTTCTATCCCCTTTATTTCTCTTATTCAAGAAGTTATAGCGGAGGTGTAGGGTGTAGGGACCAAGGGCAGGCTGCCCCAAGATGTGCTACTTCGACATGCAGATTATTTTGAGCTGAAAGCCATCAAGAACAAAAAAGGTGCAGGAAGATACTTTGACTCCCCCACTCACACACACACACACACACACACACACACAGAACTGCATAAAAAGAATTTAGATGGAGGCATCACTCTGAGGAGGGTTTTCACCATAGAGTGCTGCGTTCTCATGTGAGCTGGGGCAGACAGGAAGGAAGGTGACAGAGCCCATCTGTTAGAGCTCCTCTCTGGGCCCCATTGTTCTGGGGGGCCCATCAAGCATTTTTTTTTTTTTTATCAACATGTACTCTTTTCATATTCCTGTGAATCACTTCCCTTTTTCTTTGAAGTCTCAGCCCCGCACCCCTTCTCCTGGGCTCAGGATGACATCCAGACCTCATTCCCTGGCTGTATTTGGAACTGTTACTGAGACAGGGACCGTGGGGTGTAGTCAGAGCAGGGTGAGGGCCTCCGGAAAAAGCAAGGCAGGATAATTACAGTCAGAGCAATGTAACTACAGGCAAGGAAACCCCCTGCCAAAACTCTGTGTTAAATGTTAAGCTCTGCAGTCATTCTTCAGCAAGATCAGTTGATACTCCCCAGTTAAAGGAAAGCAGCCCATGTTTTTATTATGCTATTTGTTTGTAATCACGTGCAAGATTCACTTTAGCATGCTAAAAGGGATTTAATATCTCATCAAGGACAAACATCCTAAGGCCACTTTGAACAAGTCCACACCCTAAGCCCTTTATCAGTTCCTTAAAATCCTCAACTGCCTATAAATCCCCTAGACAACTAACCACCCCCGGCTCTCTTGTCCCCTCCTGGCCTGAGCCAGGAGCTGTCTTCTCACTGTATCTCTCAATGAAAGTCTCCTTGGCTCTCCTACCTTGGGTGTTTGCTAAGTTCATTCTTAGACTCTGCAAACAAGAACCCCTGCATCATTACCGGCTGAGATGCTGCTTCTCCCAGGATCATGTCTTGTAGGTAAAGAAGAATGAAGCCAACAGGCAAGAGTACAAAGCAACCAGCAAGGCTTTCCAAGAGGGGTGGAAAGGAGAAGGATCCCACCAATCAGGAGGGGCTCCAAGGGAGGAAGCTGCTTGGGCCGCAGTGTCTAGGGGATTGTCAGCACCGGAAGGGAGGAAGTCCATCTGGCTGCCTAGAACCTGTTGCTAGGGCTGGGCTGGAATCAGAAGCCCCCTTATTTCTCAGGCTGACCATTTCAGGGGGTGGTTTCTTATGTGTCCTGCTTGGCCGGCTGACCGCCAGTGCCTGGTGTCAGCATCCTGCTTGGCCAGACTCTCCTAGAGCAACACGTCCTGTCCTGGCTGCCCCACCAGTTACCTCCCGCCTCAGCACCCATGTCTATGGCTTCCCTGTCAGTATGCTATGAAGCTGTGTTTCTTTCTCCTGTTAATCTGTCTTGTGTCCTCATGTCATTTGATTCCTAAACGAGCTTGAAGAACCTTGAGGAGTAAAGGAAATTTCTTCCTGCCAGCAATGGAGTCACTGTCTGAATGGTCAGCTAGACCCACCATCTGTGTACCTCCTGTTTCAGATCAGAGGAGCAGTGTGTCTGGTTGACCCTGGACCAGCTCAGTGGCAGTCCGGTCCCACTCCCGTCCCCATGCTGCTGAGAGCACTGCCCATCGTGCTATGTCCTAGCTTCCCATCCGGGCCCTTCAGTCACTCACTTCACATTTTCAATACCACTTGATGCTCTTTGAATAAATCAATTTCATTATTGCCTTAGTGTCTTAGGGCTGCTGTGACACATCACCACAACAGGGTAGCTTCAGGAGACGCACATTTATTCTCTCACAGTTCTTGAGGCTGCAGTTGAAACCAGGGCTGCATGCCTGCAGAGACTCGGTGGGGGGTGGTCCTGAGACGGGGACCGTGGGCTTGACAGAATGAACTTAGCAGTCAAGGTAGGAGAGCCAGGGAGACTTGTATTGAGAGAGACAGTGAGAGAATACTGCTCCAGCTCAGGCCAGGAGGGGACAGGAGAGCCCGGGGTGGTGTGTTGTCTAAGGGGTTTATAGGCAGTTGAGAGACAAAGAGCTAGGGATGCAGACCCACCAGATGGGCTCTGAATGTTTATCTTTAAAGAGACACTAAGTTTCGGTTTTCCGGACTATTTTGCAGAGTTAACATAAGAAATTTACTGCTTTGATCCTTTCCAGAATAGCAGGTTCTTGGTTTCAGAGCGTATCAATCAAGGCTGCTTGTCTTGCTTTCAAGATCAGCTGAGTTACTGACTTGATTCCGGCTGGAGGAGGAAAAGCAGCCTCTGGGCAAAGTTAAAGATAAACTGGGCCTTTTAGCCACTAAAGTAAATTTTATAATAGCCTCATTTAATTTACACAAACAAGACATGGGCTGTGCTGAGGTATTTTCTTATCTGGGGGATGTTCAAACATTCCAGGCCAGGTTATTCCTGGCTTTTTAGTTTTAACTAATCTTCACTGAAGAATGCTTATATTCCTACTTTGATATTTTACTTTAGAGATTTAATGTGACTCTGTCTTTACTTAATTGTTTAATACTGAGTTTTGGTAGGGGTCTTTTTCTAGAGGCCCTCACCCTACTCTGACTACACCCACGGTCCCTGTCTCACTATGACCTGAACCTCTTTTTTCTTTATGGCATTTGTCATAATTCACAGTCCATTCATTCACTGGATATTCCTGAAAGCCGGCTGTGTGCCAGTGTGCTTGGAGCTGGGGTCAGAGCAGAGACAGTCTTCAAGTATTTATTACTCGAACCCCCACTACAAAGTCGGTGATGCAGCAAAAAGCAGCCAGACTCCCCTGAACACACTGGCCGAAGCCCTGACCACTTAGGGAATGCATTCTCCCTGTTTCTATTGGGTGCCCACATCTTTCTGTCCCTGTTCATCATCTCTACGATTGTGGCAATCAATTTTTCTGATCGTCACATTTTCCACAATGCGATACAAGTGAAATGCCAACAGATGGCGAAGCGAAAATTTGAATCTTGCAAAAGATATAGGATTTAAGGGCATCAATTAAACTTAGGTTGGAGGATTGCTCAAATCATACACAAAGCTACTGACATGGAAGTTCTGGAAAAGCTAGGGTGTGAGAAAGTCAACACAGAGCTGTAGCAAGGCCTTCAAAATGCTATAGCTTATTTCAATCAGAGCATTATGAAGAGCCCTTGGGAAAATTAAGGGCCATGAACATTTTTGTACAAATGACCCTCCTGATGCACTTAAACTTCATAAGTCACACATGAAGTCAGAGATGTTATGTGCTTGTCAATGAAAGATTCATTTAAGTCAATGAAAGATTCATTTAAGTTACCTTGAGATAAAGACAGAGTTTTATTCGAGCTTGGCTGAGGACTAAAGGCTGAAACATTAAATCCCACAGGCAGGAGAATGTTTCAAGCAGCCCAGGTCTTACAAAGTTTTTATATCCTCAGGGAGAAAAGCAAAAATAATTTCAAAGGGGTTCGTCCATTTGCACAAAATACACGGTGCTAAAGAAAGGGTTGGGTGGACACATCTTGGCACAAAAGGGCATTAAGGTGGGGGGGGCACACACTTTCCTGCTCATCTTGTGTCCTTGACCAGAACCCGGAGGACAGATGGGATATGCTGTTTAGCCTTAACTTGGTTTTAATTAGCAGGTGGTATTATAGAGTTAGAAAGCTTAATTTTCAAGGGTGGCCATATGAGACTCTCAGAATTAATGAAACTTAAGCCTTAGAAATCTTTTGGGTGGTCCCTGGTATGCAGGTCGGCGTCCTTTATTTCACAGTCTAATAAAACCTTGTCCAAAAAGTGACAAGAGCCCCATTATCACCGTT